GCCCGCCGGGACAAAAGAAAAAAAACCCGTGACCCTTAACTGGACCGGATTGGCCGCGGTCCGGTTCTAAAAACCGGCACTATTCATGCCGGTACCGGTACCGGGTCACGGGTCGGGCCCGTGGCCATGTCTAATGTTCACTTATATTTGCTTCATTATTTTACATCTCCTGTATAACTTTTTAATGTGTTAGACATCCAAATTTTGTGGGGCAAATTTTTATATTTTTCATTTCATTTTATTAAAATTTAATTTACTTTCAATTAAGAGTTATGAGGTTTAAAATACTCATGAATATATGAGATATTAAATACTACCTTCTATTTTAAATAGATGTCATTTTGGGATATTGCACATTTATTAAGAATATTTTTTTTTGTCAATAATAACCTTATTTAATGAAGATAGAGATGAATATTTTGATAAAAAAATGAAGAGTGATTATGAAAAGACGTGATGTATTTATTAGCTAAATAAGGGTAATAATGGAAAAATATGTACAAAAGATCCAAAATGACATTTATTTAGCAAATAGTTGATAAAACTAGAATGACATTTAAAAAAATAGGAGGGAGTATTATTTTTATTAACATTAATTATTAATACCATTTTCTAATCAGTTTATCAGGTATAATTTTTTTTTTTTGTCTTCAATATTTTCTTTTCCTAATCTTTATTTTAAAAATATAAAAGGTTTACTAACTTAAATTATAAGCATATTTAAAAGCCAATATTTTTTATTTATTTATTAATTATATATATATATATAGGGTTGGGTTCACATGAGAATGATGCTTAGTGAAAGAAATAAGAATAAATTGTAGTCATTAGATCATATGATCTAATGGCTAAAAAAAAATTAAAATTATACCCTCATTAAGAGTAATGTACTAATTTGTAATACATAAACAGTGGGACCCATGCCTCACCAGCTGCCACTCATCTCTCGCTCTCCCATCTCTCTCCTACGCACACACTAAAACCCGCCACATCAACACCTTTACGCACTAAACACACACCCCACACCACACGCACCGACACATCTAACACACGCACACACGCACGTTGCATACACATACACATATTATCACACATATAAAACAATTAATTTACACACAGATAAACTTATATACACACACACACACAAAGGTCGGTGGAACCGCCGGATCACCTCACCGGAGCGCCCGACCTCTACGCCGGCTCCTGGCAAACCTCCATCCAGAATCCTACGCACAGAGCTGTCGACCGCCGCTCTTCCATGGCGGTTTCCGGCGACTATTGAACTGCATACATGGAGTCCGTCGGACTTCACATCCGCCGGAGAAGACAACCATATCGCCTCGCCGGTTGACTCTGTCGCCAGCCGTCTCCCTCGACATATGTATGCTCGTTGGAATCGAGACAGTGATGAGGTCGTTGAGGAAAAGGCCGGCCATGGGACGCCAACTGGATCCCTTACGTCGCTGAGATGTTGGAGGAGGTGACTGAGTCGGCGGAGTTGCTGTGGAGGCGTAGTGCGGATATATTAAAGGGGGTGATTGACTCCCGCCGGCTTCAATGTCACCGAACACATTCAGCCGCTGGGGATTTAGTGTCGGTGGAAAGCTTCGAACAGTGCCTCGCCGGATGGTCCGTCTTCACCGGAATATCGCGCCCTCGGCGGCGGGAGTGATAGTGGTGATACCGCCGACGGATTGATGGACAGGAGGAAAATAGTTCAAATGACTCTTTGTACACTACAATTGTTAAAGGGAGATGCTACGGTCCCGTTACGGTATATCTCGTTGGTTGTTTTAACCGTTAGATCTACGTGTAGTTAGATAAGATCGATGATCCAACGGTTAAAACATCCGACGGGATGGTACCGTAACGGGATGGTAGCATTTCCCATTGTTAAAATGACCCTTGAC